GATCTCCTTCCACTGGAGTACCGTGGCCTCCGAGGGGACCTAATTCTTACTTACGCCCTGTTTGAAGAAAGCTTCGCAAACAGGTTTTATTACCGTTGGCCCAGCAAACACCGGGTTCGGACATAGTGGGAAAATTTTCAAGCTCAGAGCACATACATTCATTAGACAAAACGTTTATCATTTCGGGTAGTAGCTGCGCGGAATGACCTTCCTCTGACGGTTGTACACGTTCCTTCTTGAGTCCAATTTAAAGCACTATTAGACATTTATTTATGCAAATCATTGCGCCGGCAAGTATACTGCTCCGCGCTGAGAACGTAAAGAGCAATGCTACACCCTTTTTTCACTTGTGCATTTCAGGTGAACGACAGCCACTGACCGACAACACCGAAACTGACCCGGGAAACTTGGGAAACAGCCTCAAGCCTGTGTATCAGTCCGCGAATCCGTGAATGTCCCCGCCGTGTATTTTCAGGGCCAGTTGTAAAAAACTTGTCGGCCGAGCTTTGTTCAAACAGGGCATAAGTAAGTAATAGGTCCCCTCGGAGGCCACGGTACGCCAGGGGAAGGAGATCTTTAATCGCGAAATGCGTTTCGCAGTCAATGGATTTGAGGTCGGTAACCATTATTGTGGCGGTCCGCTGTACACGCTCAATGAGGATGACGTCTTTCGTACGTCCTGAGTAGACAACTTGGTTGGCGTACTCCAGTAGCGGTCTGACGTAGGCCCCATAGTGTATTTGGAAGTCCATGCGAGTAATACGGGAGAAGGTGTGTCGGATCATCCGTAAAATGCCGAATGCTTTTTTGGCCGATTTCTCATGGTGTAGTGAGAAGGACAAGTTTGAGGAGACCCAGATGCCCAAATCTTTTTTGGCATCTATCCTCATGATGTTTTCTGGTCCCTTTTCACCATGCATAACAAAGGCATTCGCTGAATCCCCTCCAAACGACACATGGACGCACTTTTCATCATTCAGAGGAAGGTGCCAGTCCAACGACCACTGCTTGGCAGAGTCTACGTCCATTTGGAGGGCACTGGCATTGGAACTCCAGGATTTCAAGTCGTCCGCAAAAAGCAAACATGGACTCGCAAGAACGTCTGGGAGGTCGTTGACGTAGATAAGAAACAGGGGTGGTCCCAAGACGGAGCATCGAGAAACTTCAATGGAGACCGGCGCTGAAGAGGAATAGGTTGAGCCTATTCTCACTCGGAATGACCTGTCTGATAGGAACGCCTTGATCCAGCGAAGGATTTTCCCTTGAATCCCGTAAGACTCGAGTTTGTGGAGCAGCGGGACGTGTGGGACCCTATCAAATGCTTTTCAGAAGTCGAAAAATATGGCATTCGATATGAGTCCTTCGTCCTTGGCTTGGGTTAAGCTGTCCATAAACACGAGCATGTTTGCTACGCAAGAACGGTTTGGGAGAAATCCGTGTTGAGATGGAGATATCAGATTGCTGGAAGTAAGGCGATCTAGGATGGCTCGCTTCAGAATGCGTTCCATCACCTGGCACGGCACGCTAGTGGGGATTATAGGCCTATAGCTGCCAGGCGATAGTCGGTCACCAGTTTCGTA